CCAAAAAGGTGTTTTTGTGCAATTGAAAGGTTTATTTTCAAGAGTGCATCTTTCAGTGCATGCTTTACTGCAGGAAAAAGACAAGCATACTCGCTTATTATCAGACTTGATTGCATTTCCTGCATTCATTTCTTTTCCGGGAATATCTTTAGGATTGTGTGTTAAATGTTGCAAGTGAGAGTATTGCACTCATTTTGAAAGCTGAAAGCATAATAAAACGAGCCAAAATGTGGAGACGCGTAAAACTTTGTGAATGACGGGCGTTGCAATTCTGCTAAAACTTCTGCGGGCGCAGTATCTGCGTGGGCCCACGCGTTGCATCTCAGCAAAGCTCGGACAAAAAGAGCTTCACAGCGGTTTTCTCTCCCTGCCGCTTTAACTCTATTAATTGTTGATACGTCGCAATCCACGAGGCAGAAATTAGAGGGCTAATTATTCGATCATGTGATGCTGCCCCACTGCAGTGACAGAAAAGTAATTTCCCGGGCCTTGAAACTGATCTCGCTTGATCGTTAGATGACAGATTTGTTTTATAATTCGATAAAAGCGGGGCATAAACAAGCGATGAGCCGATAAAGAGCCTCTCTCGCACGCTCGGAGGGAGTAATTGTTTTTAAATAATTAATACGGATTCCTGAGGGGGATTCAAAGAGCAGGATCTTTTTGTTGTCGTTCGCTTGTGTGCAGCCGGACTTCAGCTCTCGCAGGTTTCACTGATTTAAAAGCCTCGCACACTTTATTTGGCAGGTGTTCAGATGCGAGCAAGCCACAGGGGGACTTTTACAGTGCACACTAGAGGTTCAACAACACAGTGTGCACTAGACAGAAATGACTGTTCACTGTGTTGCATCGCTTTATGCCACTGCATGCATTAAATAATTAGCCTGCACATATAAAGTGATATATACGCACTCACGCACATAAGTCTATTACTGCAGGTTATTTTTATTATTTAATACACTTAGAAGTCATGAGAGTCGTGCACAGTCAACTGCAAACTACTGTATTAATGTGCTCGAGTAACACAGCTCCTCTATTCTGTCTAAAAATGTGCCAGCCACCAATATTTCGAGACTGTAATGAGTTCCACGTTTTCGTGTTTCCAGGAAATGTTTGTTTTGAATGCATCTAATGGAGATTTGTATACTGCCCATTTGCCTCCGCATTGATTCAGTGTCTCTGTTCGGTATGTGGTGGGCACTGATGACTCTACCCCATGCTGTTTGTGTTATCAAACTGCCGAGATGCTCTTGGCTCTGATTTATAACACTACCTCAAATAATCTTGTTAATGCACATTTAACATTGCGGAAGTGGCAAGCACATAGACTAAACAACACCTACGCGTGCGAGCAGTCAGAATAGCGCTGGTGAAATGTGCCGAGTGATAAACTGCCTCCAGTGCAGCTAAAAAGAGGAAGACCGTACTGTCTTGTTGTCATAGGGGTTTCTAACTTTGGATGTACACTTACACATATTGTGTCACTATTCCGGGGGAAACCGGATGATCTTGAAAAAAAGGCTAAATAAGCAATGCAACATCCTAGGATGCTGTAAAATAGAAAAAAAGTGTTAAAATCCTCGTTGTTTTAAGTATTAGAAGTGTTGAAGAAATGATGAACTATTTTTTAAAATTCACTTTTGTATTTTTACATTTTTTTTGAGAATTATGAATAAATTTAAAAAAATTCAAATGTAGTCAAAATTCAAAACATTTTGTTAATGGTTTCTTTTTTGCAAGTTATTTGATTTAAATATGACCACATTTTTCATGTCAATATAAATTGACATCAAATGATCAGATATTCTAGGATAAACAGTATGTTCATGGAAAAAGGCAAAATAAACAATACAAATGTAAATGAAATAAAAATAAAGGGTTTATATTTGAGTTTTTGCAATACATTTTTTGTTTTTTACATTTTTTTGCAGTTTTTTTTTTTATTAATTAAAAAAAATCTAATGTAGTCAAAATTAAAATAGGATTTTGTTAACTGCTTCTTTTTCTTTCTTTCTTTTTTACCCCAAAAAAGAAGCCTGTGATTTAAATATGACCAAATATTTCATCTGACATCAGTATAAACTGACATCGAATTAAGCTTGTCTCTCAAATTTGGATACCCAAAAATTCTTAGATAATATATTTTATTTATATTAGTATGGCTAAATAAAAGTGTCACCAATGTTTCACCAATAAAAGTGTCAGATGAGGCAGTACAGTACATATTTACAGTGTTGTTTGTGCATTGCTTTTGTTCTGCATTGTACGTTTGTGTATTTGTTTATTATTATTTATATATTTTTTAAAGCACTATTAGTATTCATTATTGTTTGCTCTGAGCATGCTACAAATATTGGCATTTTCAACTCTTCAATTGTGTTTACCCTTCTTTAAATGGGCGAGAGCTGAATTATAAGCACAGTTGATCGAATCATTTCTGCTCTGTGAATCTGCATGCCCTTCTGTATGTCAGAGTTGGTGTTGTTGGGCGGTGTGTGTGTGTGTGTGTGCCAGGGCTCTTGGCAGTGTCTGCACCTGTTGGCAGCATCAGGACCCTCCTGGCAAGGCCGGCAGAAATTGTGTGATGCTCTTGTACGAGTGCAGAAGAGACTGCAGCCACAGCACGTCAACATGGCGGCCACGCTCCGCTTACCACTGCTCCCGGCCCGCGTTTCCATTTTACTGTGGAAATAAGAGTGGACCGATGCAACTACATAATCCGTTTGTGATTTTGAAATTGACATTTAGAGCCAATGATGGATTTTGGGAGCAGAAATGCACCAGATAAAACTGTGCTATGTCATATTATTTACTATGATTGACAATTTGTAGGGTCAGATCTGATTGAAATAGTTTTAGCTACATATTTGTACATTTTGCACTGAAATACTGAATGGGTCTTGTGTAAAAGAGCCATTGTTTTTGATATAAAGTTGGCTATATTAGTTTTGGCCTAATCTAGAGCATCGCTGTAGCTGCTGCGCCACCTAATGTGTTGCACATGGACTAACATCTCAAGACAGCAAAAACAAGCTCAGAGCAAATTCACATCGACGCCGGAAACGTGTTTAGCGTCGTACGAATGCCATATCACATATGTTGCATTCATATGTGACATAAAAAAAAAAACGATCATTTACCCGTGTTGAATCGATGAACGTATTTCGCTACCCCTTATAATGCATCCCCCTTTTTTGGTCATCGCTTTTTTTTCTTACATTTCCTGTTTTTAACAGCAGTGATACTTAGTGTTCTAGTTCAGCACCTCTGCTGATTTCATATAGCTTTATCACCTTCAGTTTCATGTCTACACATGTTACACACTCCTGCTTTTAAAAACACATTTTACTGTCTTCACTATAATTAATTATTGGGCCCATTAGTCATTATAATTGTTGATTCTGACATGGGCATGTGCTTGGTTACCTTTAAAACTCATCTTCTTTTTTTAGAATAAATAAACAATATATTTCACTCTCACTTGGCATTATAATAACATACAGTAGCAGAAACGAAGCATCCAGGTTCTTAGACTTTTGAGTATATATATATATATATATATATATATATGTGTGTGTGTGTGTGTCTGTATGTATGTATGTATGTATGTATTAATTTATTACTGCTATACTTATTATTTATATATTCAATATAATGTTGAAATCATAAACACAGTATGTTAGTAAATACAGATCTTTGAAAGTAATTTTAACCAGTCAGGATGTGGTGTTACTTCCAAACCATGAGTGATTAAATTTGACCCTTGCACATATTTCTGCATGACGGTTGTCTGTATATGTCATTGTGTTTTTATTTATGATAATATACATTCCAGTGTAGATAACATATAATGCCTCTGTAATAATTATTTTCTTTTATTGCAGTGGGCATCTTTTTAAAATCAAATAAGGCTGGGAATGATTTCATTCCTGTGTTGATGTCAAAATAATTAAGAGTTTTAGTTTAATAATTCATTCATCAAATGCATCAAAAGTCTTTGTTTTATTGATACTATTTTATAAAATGCATGTTTTTATTTTTACTGCATTTTCTCATAAATAATCACTCTGTAAACATTTTTTTAAACTAGTGTGCATTAATTTATTCTTCTGTCATATTTGCATAAATTAGATCTCTCTCTCTCTCTGTGTGTGTGTGTGTGTGTGAGTTCAGGGATGCTCGTTTGCTGTCACCTGCACATATGTGTGTGTGTCATGCACCAGCGTCACTGACAGATGGCGTGTCCTTTTGCTATAAGAAATATTGTACTCTTGAGGCTCTTTTGCAACTTTTTAAAAACAGAACCGCGCCAAACCCCCCGCTATAATATCATCACACTCGATCATACGATCATTCGCGTTTGCTTGCTATCCCCCGGTTCTGCTGATCAACTCATCACTAACATCTCAACACACACCATCGGGATCAAAATGCACACGCTCACAAATAAAGATGGTTTATTTTGTGACAAAAAAAAAATGCAAAATGATTTTATTGTGCTGCTCGGTGCATGTGCATCCTGTATGTGTGTGTACAGGATGTGTGTGTAGATTCAGTAATAAATGCAGAACCGCCTCACTCTAATCAAGCTGATTAAAAATTCCTGCGCGCGTGCAGGCGGAAATCCACCATCATCATCATCCTCGTTCTCCGGCACTTTTACTTTATTCTCGCGTCCATCCTCCTCCAGGACAGCGACAGACGCGGGAGGACCAGAAATCCGTCTTCAATCGCGTCGTTTACGAGATTTAGAGATGAGGAGAAGCGGCAGGCAGCGCGGAGAGGGAGGGATGAGCCGATGCAACTCATAATTTAATGGGGACAGAGAGAGAGAGAGAGAGAGAGAGAGAGACGGAGAGAGAGAGAGAGACGGAGAGAGAGAGAGAGACACACACACACAGAAGGGAAACAGAAAGAAAAGGACCGAGCGCGAATGTTACAAATGTAACAAGCGGAAGATACAATGTAGCGCTGACGTGCGTCAGGAATGTTTGGATGCTTTGATGTTTCATTCGACGTTCGAAAGTGTATCGCGCACTTTTAAAGCTGCTTCGGATCCGCAGATCGGCTCGAGATGAGACGGCAGGTCGCTGGGGCTTCGTGCTGTTGTTTGGCCAGATGAGAGGCGATTCACGAACGCTTCTGTTCCTATAGGCGCGTATTGTTGAAGCTCAATGGGATGTGTAGGGAACGCTGGCGGTTACTTTTATGTTTAAGCGTTATTCTGCGCACAGAACGGACGGTGGATGTGATCGTAAACTCTATTGAACTCTAGACTCACCGGAGATCGTTGCATTTCGGCTTGATTGCACGCGACTACGGTCTTTAGCTCTCATCACATTTTAAAGTACTTTGCGCTTCGTCTATATGGTTCTACGTGTATTATGCGCCGTAATTCATGGCTTAGCGTTTGATATTAGGTTTTGGCGTGGACGATCTGGAAGTTTTCTACGTTTCAGAATAGAATAGCTGACATAAAACTGATTTTCGAGTGAAGTTTGTGCTCCTCCTGCCAAAACTTGAAGTCGCTGTTCATCCACAGCTCCTTTATATGTTCTTCTTAAAGTGGTGAGTTCAGGCTTGTTATTTTTCTTATTTCTTTGTGTTTTATTGAATGATTTATTTTATTTGTAAATGTTCTCTTTTATTTTTTTAAATTAAAAAAAAAGACAAATATATTTCTGTATGCACACTAGACATTTTTAATCATTGATTTTTATGATATGCACCTAAAATGTAATGTAACCTGTACATTATCTAGTTATATATGTGTTATATGCCTGAATCAACCTGCTTTAGGTTACAGCAATGAATTTTAAGGGTCTGGAGAAGTAGAAATATATGTTTTTAAGATAACACTTGCTCATTTTTGCTATTAGAGTGTTTCCATTCACATGGAAAGTGCACAGAGTAATTTTTTTTTTAAATATCCTCTATACCTGTTTTATTGGTTTTTAAATGAAGTCACATAAGTTCATCTGGTGTTCAGTGCTGTGGAATTCATTGCATGTCTGATGTCTTGTTTGGCCTGTTTGATGAAATCTAACCCCATCTGTCATGGTGTCTGGTGCAATGTTCCTTTATCGCTGCGAATGCAATGTTGAGACAAGGTGCACGTCCCTTTTCCGGTAATCTTAGATAATCCGAGGACTTTCTTTTGTTTTGGCATTTTAGGGAAACTTTTTTTGGGTGTCATTAAATACAAACAGTTGCAACCAAAAATCTGCTCACTGTGTTTTACATGTGTGTCTCAACTTCAATCAGGAATTCAGGGTCTTTCAGTTTGATACCAATAGATCTGATCCACTAAATATTTCACAGCCTGTCTCTCTTGTATGGATCGGTTCATTGTACAGTGTGCTGATCACTGAAGTGGACTCCTCTGCACATTAATGCGACTGTACAAAAACTAGCTTGTTTGCTCTCCACATGGGATTCTGCAGTGGGTTAGACATACATAATACATGCTCTTAGGAATGGGAATGTGATCGTTGCATGAAACATTGTAAATGCCAGGTAACATTTGGCTTGATTTGACATTTCAGTCTACATGGAAGAGACAGTTTATGTTGCAATTTCATTGTTTTTTAGGTTCAGTAATCTTTATTATTGGGGGGAAAAAGTTTATGATGTTTATTTTATGGCGCTTGATCATCCAGCCGTCATGATGCCGTTGCTTTTCTTCTTATTTTTCCCTTCAGGTGACAGTGAGCAGTGGTGCTGAGAACCATGGAGCATCTCAGCGAAACATGCCAGGGGAAGGAGAACTGTGAGATGGTCAACAACCTGAATGACACCAAGGCCCCTCCGGCCAAAATGGCCCGCCTGGAACAGAACGGAAGCCCGCTGGGCATGTCTCGTCTAGGTAGCACTGGAGCGAAACTCTCCGGAGTGCACTTCAAACCCCCTGGACATCATCTGAAGGCCTGCCACAAGAGGGGTGAGTTTGCTTTTTCTTACCACTGCACTCTTAAAAATAAAGGTTCCAAAAGGGGGTTTTCACTGTGGTGCAATAGAAAAACCATTATTTGTTCCCCAAAGAACCTTTCAGTGAACAGTTTTTAATAGAACCATTTTTTTTTAAAGTGTGAAGAACATTTTAAATATCTGAAGAGCCTTTTTTCACTATAAAGAACTTCTTGTGCATTTGAACGTTTCAATGGATGCTAAAGGTTCTTCATGGAACCATCAATGCCAGTAAAGAACCCCTTAAAATGCCACCATTCCACAAAAGGTATTTTATAGTGGAAAAAAGTTCACGTTTCTTTGGGGAACCAAAACTGATTTATTGCATCGCTAGAAAAAAAACCCATATGAAACCTTTATTTCTAAGAGTGTGAGTCCTTACTAGGATGGAATTGATTTTAGTGAGAAGCAATTTGTCTGTCCATTCAAATTTGGACCAATGATATTTCACAATGGGTGGGGCTACCAGATATTTAATCACTCAGAAACCCAAGTGACCGACAAAATGTCCCATTTTATGTTGTGGCCATGGACGGTTAGGACCCTTAAATCGGGCATCTGGTTAAATTATGATGTAAACATGCAAAGTAGTTTGCGCATTTTATATATTTGTTGCATAACTATGCCAGCAGCATTTCTAAGAGTACATTTAGTAGTTATTGTAAGCACATTTGTATTGTTTTTATAGAAAACTGTCACTGTAGTATTTTGTCTGCTGATTGGTATGTCACAAAAACTTTTCAAATCGAAATTCTTAGTAAATAAATCCTAACTGTTTTATTGGTTGCTCATTTGACATTTTAGAGCATTGCTATTTATTTTGGCATATATATATATATATATACTGTATATCTGATATAAGATATATATCTGCAGTGTACAATTAAAGGGAAAACGCTTTAGCTACAACAACTAGCGTCAGTTGTTCATGTTCACCTACCGCATTCTATAGCTCTCTGGGTAACCATTATTATTATTATTTATGGGAAAAAGTGAACTTTTGCTGAGTGCTTGCTGAACTTTGGAAGCTACTGTATTCATTGTTTCAGCTGAATAATATTTACCATGGGCTTTTCTCAGCTCTCTGGGAACAAAGCGTGTATTGATCCCGAAATGAACTGACACAGCAGTCTTTATTGTTAGATCTTTATCTATTAAAAATGGAAAAGCTTCGATTCAGCACATTCCCTGGCATCTGCTTATGATTACCGTATTTATTGATTGTTTTCCAGAAAACGGTCGCATTCTTAGGAAACTGCGACCGCGAGGAGCAGAAATATGATTTATTACGATTGCCCCGGATAGACGGCGTTGATATTTCCCCCAGCCTGTATTAAACCCTGTAAAAATAAAGATCCTGGGTCCAAGAGATCATGAAGTTCCTGAAATTTCATCACCGCAGTGTTGCAGCTGGCTGGTATTATGTGATATTTGCACAGTAAACCCGAACACATGACAGCTTTGGATGGAGATTCTTCGTTTTTTTCTTTTTTTTTTCTCTGATAGCGGTACGCTGTTTACACAGACTCGTAAACCTCAAGGCTATACGGTGCATTGGGAGCCACTGCACAGCATCATGGGAAGGGTACTGGGAGCTGCCTGAAGAAGTATTCTAATGTGATTTGAGCACCTTAACAATAAATAAAGCGCTAAAGCCGCGATGAGCTCTAACCTTTTAGTGTGCTAACACGTTTAAATAGCAGAGCTGTTTCGTTGACGTCGTCTCCGTTTGTTCTGCGTTCTGATCTAATTATGTATGTTACAATGCTGCTTTATTGTAACACCGTTACAGTGGATGATAGACAATTGATAACACAGCCTTGCATAAAAAAAATATTTCAGCTGATTTGCTGAAAAAATTACCTAATTTGATTAATAAAAACTTTTTTGAAAGATATTTTTTTCACAAAATAAGAATGACTCAAATGCCAAGTTTTGTTTTCATGACAAAATGTAGCATTTAAAATGTATAATTTAGCTTACAATTAGCGAGTTAAAAATATGCTCAAATACTCAATTTAATGTCAAAGCACACATTTTTGCACTTATAAAGCACTTATTAGTACATACATATTACTTTGTTACTAAAAATTTTTTTTTAACCTTTATTCAGGGTATCAAGGATGCCTTAAATTGATTAAAAGTGACAATAAATAAATGTATAATGTTACAAAGGATTCTATTTCAAATAAATTCTATTTAGAAATAGTACAATTTAGAGTTTCAGTTTTAATGACAGAAGCTTCGAAAAGTATCATTCAACTTCAAATCTGCAAATGAGTGAAAAATATTTTCAAATACTCCATTTCATGTCAGAGAACATCAATAAGTTTATGGATAAATAAGCTTTTCAGAAAATCTGTCATCTTCTGTCGCTGTTTGGATGTAGTAAAACACCCATAGATGCAGTAGAACTGTCTCATGTTTGCATTTTCTTCTGTCCCTGGTCATAATTCTAACCTTGAAAACAGGATTAGGCATAAAACAATGTCATATGTTTAAAAATGACTGATAATGGAACAAATAGTTGTAAATTATCTCAGAGGAAAACAGGAATCATGTTTTTGTAGTGACTTTTCTGCTGATTAAGGGACAAAACAAGACTTCTCCACCCTACAAATGCTTGTCAAAAGCAAAAATGCTACAAAATAATTCTGTAAGAAAAATATGATGAGATTCCTATTTTTGGAATCAGCGTGGTGTTATTGGAGGTTGCATGCAAAGGCAAATGTCATTATTATTCATATTGCCTATGCTTAGGATTCAAGTTTTTTTTTAATTGTCACCCTAGCAACCACATAGCAACGTGCTATCATTAAAAACAACTTTATTTTTCGCTCAAGTATTCTTTGCATTTGCATGAATATGCAACAGAAATAACACTTGTTCAAAGTCTGTGGCATTTTAGCATCTCCCTGTTGTGTTGCATGCTCTCTATGCAGCGGTGTAAAGCTTGCTCTCTTGTTTCTGCTAGGTAACATGCTGCCAGTGTTTTGTGTGGTGGAGCACTACGAGAGCCCCATCGAGTTTGACAGCAAAGAGGAACATGCTGAGTTCGTTCTGGTCAGGAAGGACATGCTCTTCAACCAGCTAATCGAGATGGCCCTGCTCTCCCTGGGCTACTCGCACAGTTCGGCTGCACAGGCTAAAGGTACGGCGTGTTTTTATCATCCTAAACATGGCGTACAGACACATGGTGCACGGCGATACCTATTCATCCAGAATGTGTGTTGTTTTGTTTTTTTTGCCGTTAGATCAGAATCATGAGTCATAAAATGCCGGGCAGATGCTCGGGTATTTTTGGAGGCTAAACAGAGATATTTTTGGAGTGATTTGTTGGCTGTGTTCTGGTGCATGCATGCTTCTGCTCGGGCTGACCTGATGCCGAGGTCAGGGGGGTTGTGGGTAGAGGCAGGAACACACAGGTGCACCTCCTGCTCTCTGTAATCACACTTTTCTCAATGGGAACGAGTGTGGAGGTGGGCCTGCGGTTTCTAATTGCTCGCTTTATGGAGTTGGGGGCTATTTTAAGAGCCGTAGCCTTCAGCCTGTAATTTATTGCCTGCTGTCCATCATCATTTCTTTTTTTCTTTGGATCTTCTGGATCTTATTTTTTCTGTTACCCATTTAGTGCCAGTCGACAGACAACATATGGTCGAGCAATATTTTTTTTTTAAAGAATGCTGTTTTGCAACCTTGTATAAAAAATACCATGGTATTACCATAAAAATAAACTTTAGAAGGACCATGACTGTGTTTTAAAACCAACAAGTCAACATACAAGTTTCATACAAATAGAGCTATTCACAAAAGACTCGACAAATTGATTTCAGTAGAGTTTGGCATTATAATGTGTGATTAAGTTCATGTGATATTCATAAATCAGTACTGCTGAAATGTTGAGAAATGAATACCGTTATTTATCAAGGATGCATTAAGCTGATGAAAAGCGACAGTAAAGACATGTGTAATCAATGTTACAAAAGATTACTAGTTCAAATAAATGCTGTTCTTTTAAACTTCCTAGTCATCACTCCTGACAAAAAGTATCAGTTTCAACAAGAATATGAAGCAGGACAACTGTTTTCAACACTGAATATAATATGAAATATTTCTCGAGCTGCAAATTAGCATATTAGAATGATTTCTGAAAGATCATGTGACTCTAAAGACTGGAGTAATGATGCTGAAAATTCAGTATTGTGTCACAGGAATAAATTACATTTGAAAACATATTCACACAGAAAACAGTTATTTTAAATTATAATAATATTTCACAATATTACTGATTTTACTGTAATTTTGATCAAATAAATGCAGTCTTGGTGAGCTTAAGAAACCTATTTCAAACGCATTAAAAAACGACAGTATTTTATATAAAAAAAGTATGCACAAATATTAGTTAAAATTGTCAATCTTAATTATATTTTGGCCTTAACTGTATTTATAACCAACATTTCTCTCATTTCGCTTGCCATCTTGGATACTCTTTTTTTAATTAACCCTGTCGCAATGCATTATGAGATTCATGTGTTGCTGCCTGCAAAAGGAGATTGCTATAAATGTAGGCAGTTCACTAGATTTTGAGCGAAAACTCAAAACGGACATCACTGTGATGGTAATACCATGGTATTCTTTGAAGTATGCTACTATACAAATTAGTATTTAGAAGCATGGTGCAAGAATATGGTTATCAAATAGTGCTTATAAAAGTATCGTAGCTGCCTTTTTTTGTGAAGAGCTAATAGAAATGTGCAGTCCTTCATTACCGTGTGCTGTCGTGTGAGTGTCTGACTGTGGTAAATGGTGTCGCCTCACCGCAGGTCTGATTCAGGTGGGCAAGTGGAACCCCGTGCCTCTTTCCTACGTGACGGATGCACCCGACGCCACAGTGGCGGACATGTTACAGGATGTGTACCATGTGGTCACGCTGAAAATCCAGCTACACAGGTCAGTGTTTCCCATGTACTGTAGCCACAGTGCCGCCACATACAGTGCTGTTTTTCCCACAAGCCACTGCTGTGGGCACACGCAGACACACCTCTTCCTTTTTCTGTAGACATCCATGTACATCTGTCTGTCTCTGTGTCGTCTCCAGAGGCTGTGTGGCTGTCTCACACGGATCCAGTCTCTCCTTTTCTTTGTGTGTGTGTGTCTATGTGCAAACATGGACGTGTTAATTGCACATTACAGCAGTACTACCGCTCATCCAATTACTCCAGTGTTTTAAAGAACTACGAAACCATCAATATTTAATTATTAATCCGGGAAGCCTTTTTTATAACATAAATTCAAGACTAAGAATGTCATTTTTACTTGCAGCGTCAGCTTCTTTTACCATAAAAAGCCATTTATTTACATTGAAGTATGAATCATACAATAAAAAATGTGATTTTCTTTCAAGCTTTTTAAACAATATTTCCTATTTTTGTTTTGCATATTTTTATATTTATATTCATATTTTTAGTTCATGTTTCATTCAAACTGAATGTATATACAGGTATATATATGCATGTATGTACACGCACATACAAAACAATAATAATGACTATATATCATTGTGATATGTTTAGTTTGGTGTTCCGTCAGTGTTACTAAACAGGTTTCCCTGTCTGCCATTGGTCAGTCAAACAGATATTCGCTCATTCATCTAGTTAGTCAAATCTGTTTGTCTGATTGATTTTGCAGTTCCGTTTTGTCACACTAGTGGCGCAGAAATGACGGCCTTAGCTTTAATTTTCATAGCATGCTGGCGTTGAACATCTCTGAATGTTGTTTTTTTTTTTGCATGGAGTGTTGCGCTATTTTCTTGGCAGCTTGCCGTTTATTGCGTCCTATTGAACAAGCGTTCATTAATGACACCCTGAATGCAGCTGTGTTTTCTCCGTTGATTTGATGGTGGATTTTTTCCCCCAACACATGCATAAATGTTCTAAATACTGGATTTTTTTTTCTTTTAAATAAAGTATTTAAATGAGAGTGGATGCTGGTCCTTTTTAATGCATCTAGCATCGAAATCTAGATGGAAACACCTTAAATTGTTTTAGCAAGCACATCAAGGCAGGAAGGTAGAAGTAACGTGAAATAATAGTCGCCACATGCAGCTGATGTATAATTCATGCATCAATACAGCAGATGTGTTGTATAAAGTAATTAACTAATCAGAACAATCAGGAGAGAGAGAGAGAGAGACTCCAGATGCATCTGCTTCATGCGCCAAATGAAATCTGTCTGTCTTAGAGGGACGCTTGCAGCAGGAAAGCAAAGCCCAGTGCTCACCGTCCTCTCTCTCTCTCTCTCTTTTGTTTCCCTTTTCCATCTCTCTCTTGTTCTATCCCTTCCTGCAGTTGTCCTAAACTGGAAGACCTTCCTCCAGAGCAGTGGACCCACTCTACAGTAAGAAATGCGCTCAAGGAGTTACTCAAAGACATGAACCAGAGCTCTCTGGCAAAAGAATGTCCCTTATCACAGGTGCTGGAGCCTTCCACGTCTAGTTGCCAAGATTGCAAGTGTCCCTTTTCAAATGCCCAGAGTTTGATAGAGTGGAAATGGACAGAATTGCCATAGAAATCCAAATCAATAGCCATTGTCATCCCCGTAGATTAATGCACTTTATTTTGATGCTGTTGCAGCAGTGCTAGCCGTTGTGAATGCGAGTATTGTTGGGTAAACAATGGGCCAACCACGGTGATCTTGATAATGCATTACAAGCTGTGAACTGTTATGGGTGAATCTCACGAAACCTGTCAACATGTCGTGTTTTAACCTTAGAATCTGTGGAAAGAATTATGGTTGCTTATGCAAAAATTAAGCCTATTTTTTTTTTTGCATTGTTTTTACTGTATATTTATGTCAGTTGCAGCTCATGTTCTTATTACCATAATGCAAAAAAACAAAAATTATTTATTTTATATATTTGAAATATTTATTTAAAAAAAAAAATTTAGTTTTTAAATCAAATATTTAAAATGTGTTTATACATCATGGTAGTCTTTAACACTTTTGATTTTAAAAATAAAAAATAATTAGGGCAAAAAAGCAAGACATAAAACATCCAGACTGTTACAGTAATGAGAATTTGAGGGGGAAAAGAGCTTTATTGTGGTGAAAATAATGCAAACATTTTTGGTCCTAAAATTGGGCTTTAATATTAAAATAATACATTTTAGTATTAAAATAAATAAAGTATTGATACAGCATGATAGTGTTGTTTTGGAGTCTTTATACTGATTTTTTTAAATTTAATTATGCTGATTTTAAAAAGTGCAATAAAAGTGAGATGTAAAACATCCAGACTATTAGAGTAATGAGAATTGGAGGGGGAAAATCTGCTTAAAAAAGGATTGGTCCTAAAAATAGGCTTAATTTTCATGTAAATTAACTATTTATTTTAAAACTAAAAGATTCTTTTTAAATAAAGTATTTATACAGCATGATAGTACTAGTTTTGAGACTTTATGCCGTATTTTTTAATTTATGCCGATTTAAAAAGTGTTATATAAAAAAAAAAATACTGAGTTCTGGTGAAAAAATCTCACCAGAATTACCTTTGAGAATAATCAGGAAGAAAGTGAAGCATGAAACATCCAGACTATTACATCAATGAGAATAAGAGGGAGGAAATCTGTTTAATAGTATTGAAAATAATGCATAAAAATTGAATAGTCCTAAAAATGGTTTGATGATTGATAATGATTTATCCCTCTCGATTTTGCAGTGAAATGTGACCTGGGCATGTTTCCATGAGATTCGCCCTTAAAACCACAATGTATTTCAAGGAAAGGCGAGTGTTTCAGCTCATGTGTTGGTGCGATCGCAGTCTACTTCGTCTCAGGGAAGCCCGTTCTTTTCCTGCAGGTGTGTGCGTGTGTGGTGATGTAAAGAGTCCCAGGGTGCTGTTCAGGCAGCGCAGGGGCTGGGCCGCTCCACATCTCTCTAATCACTCTGTTTACAGTCCATATGTGAGCTATTCCCACTGAGCAGCGGCCCGGTACTTACACTGAATTAGAGTCCGCTCACAGCTCGCTTGCTGTAGGCTGGGCGACCCGCACGCGTGTGCTGCAATTTTCGGGGGAGGGGAGAGTTTTCTGCTTTTGTTGTTTCTGATTTCTCTTGCTGGCATGAAGGAGGAGTGTCTTTCGCTAATTTTAGTCGTTACTTCTCCAGTTAGAACAGGCTGCCTCGTCTGTGTTAGGGTCGTCTTTGATGGGTAACCTAGTAGAGGTGACCTTTTTGTATAGGTGAACAGTCTTGCTGTTGAACAGGAAGAGTTGGAGAGATCAGGCCGATTTAAGAACAAATGCCGACTTTGATAGGATTAGCGACGTCTTGATACTCCGAACGGCAATCCCTGCTCTTGAAAAGGTTAATGAATGGAGAATCAGAAGGAGAATTAGGCCAGAATGGATGGGGATTGTGAATGTAGTGCTTTTTTCCAAAGCTATGTTGCATGTTTAAGTTTATATGCTAACAGGAGCCGTTCATTCTAGTGTAGTTGGTGAACTTTGTGTATGAGTAGTTGGCTAGTCATTCTTAAAGGAAGCCTTATGTAATTATGTTGATTAGATGGACTGTCATACACCAACCAGACATTTTTCTTAGTAAAACTAGCAAGTCGGACAGACTTCAACTGAATCAGGGGTCTTGATATGTTTTTCAAAGTTGAAGTAGTTTTCATTTGACTTTAACGCAACACTCATTGTGCGAGAAGCTGAGAAAACGGCCAAATGGCCAAAGAAAAAAAACAAAAAAACAACAACAACCAAATGCACTGATGTTATGCATGCATGTGCTTTCCCATGACTATAGTTTTTCTAGTTATTATTGTGTTATTACTGAAAAAAAAAAAGTGAGCTCTGGAAAGGCACTATTCAAGTTAAACATTTTCATTTTAATTTTTTTATGATATTTAGCAGTACTCATAATATTTATGATAATATTACATAACATGCATAATATTATTATATTATAATATAATAATAATAAATGTCATAATATTATAATCTTTATATCTGATATTGATATTTACGTTGATATTGATATATACATTGACATTTTAGTATATATATATATATAGCCAGTTTTATAAAAACGAAACATTTATTTTAATATTATAATATATTAGTAATATATATTAGTGACAGCATGGTTAAATTGAGCAACCTAGAAAGTGCCCTTATTAAGTGCTGTGCTATACAA